TCGTTGTGAGATAGGTCCATTACGGAGCGTTGAAGGCGTTGGATTTCTCGTACACCCATCTGTTGTCTATTTTTTCGATTCGCAAGAGATTCTACCACCTCGTCTGGCTATGCTTCGACTCCGTTCTCTGCATCAGAAAGCCATCTCCATCATCGGCTGCTATTCTCCAATATCAGCAGCTGATGACTTGGAACTAAATGCTTCATACGAGGATTTGGAGAAAGTCATCCGCACATATCCTTCTACAAATTCGTCTTAGGTGACTTCAATGCGAAAATCGGGATGCCAGAAGAAGGGGAGGATAGGATCGGGAGATTCGGATCAGGAATTCAAAATAATGGTAAGCGTCTTGTGACTCTCATCCACCGTACGACTTTTTCAACCGACCATTTGCGATTAGCCGAGAGGGACTCAACGAAGGACTATGATTTCACCATAGGCTGACAGCCTGATGGAAAATGCCTCACTGCCTTGAATAAGGAACTTGGAGCAAATTTTGAAACTACCAAGGATCTTGAGAAAAGGAGGCTGCATCACTCTCGAGTGAGTGCTAGCCAATACCAATTGAAGAACAGCTTTGTAGATCTTTAAAAGTAAGGGAAATCGAAACTATTGGAAGCAGCAGAAGAAAGAAGAAGTCTAAAGAAATACCAGGGGATCTCGTTGACTTTATACCGCTGAAAACATTACTATACGAAGACGGAACTCGCACGTTTTCCGATGAAATCGAAGAGATTTTACATCAATCTCTTTCGCTCGTCAACCCCCGTGTCGAACCCCGTTATTCCCTCTGGAGAAATACCACCAAGGATTCTACTGCCGAGTAGCGCCGCAATCCAGACCATGAAGAAGCCAGGCTCGGACCAGGTCATGTTTCGCTCGACTCTTACGAGGAGATCGCCTACACGAGATACTTGCGGACCATCTAACGTTCTACCTTAAAAAGGAAAAGATCCCCCATCGGTGGGGAACCTCCCGAACAATCCCTCTCTCTAAGAGAGGCGATAGGGAGGACCTTTGGAATACCGTCCAATATGCCTGCTGAACGTGCCACACAAGCTCTTCACGAAGATTTTTGCATTTGTGTAGCAATAATCTAGCTAATAGCAAAGTGTTCGAGTGAGCAATAAGCGCTATAAGCGAAGCGGGAGAAATCAGTGCGACTCTAAAGTAACCGTTCTTGTAAAGAATTCTTTTTGAAAATATGCTTACTGTCACCCATTATCGCTACGTTAGGAATTTTATGTAAATATATCCGTTGACTTTTACTGCAGATTGGATGTGGTGCGATAACTTCCATTCCACTTTCACCCATTCAAAATAATTTGGCGCTCAAGGTATGATCTTCACTCATTATAGTATAGTATGCTTCAGGAAAATTCGAAGAAATCGAATTTTGGGTTGGAATCACATCTTATCCGTAATTTTACAGTGTGAATGCTTAGTAGAAAGAGTTATCTTCATCAAACTTAGCGTATCAAAAAACCCATGAGTGACTATTTCAAACATTAAGGCTTGGTAATTCAAAAATTCCCAAATTTGATTTCGTCATTTTACTATAATTGAGAATGTATTCGTTTGTACTTCATTGTCCATGTGCGAGGAAGTTGCGCTAGATAGGCGGAAGAAAGTAAAGCCATGCATAAACTTTCTCAAGAAGGTATTTGGAAATCGCAAGAGCGTGTCTTTTTTTGTTACTTAGATCTGTATGTAGTGTGAGCTTGTACGTGAGGTAATATGTTCAGTGAAGAGGCAACTTTGCCATTCTTTTGAATTTTTAGTGATCCCAGGCTATACATAAAATCCCGCCAGCTTGCATCAGGGAGAACCCATCATGAACGCACGCCTACATAGCAAGCATTCCGAAATGTACCTATTAAAAAAGCTAGTGGTGGATGTAGCAGCCAACACCTTTTTGTAAGCTTAATAATTTTTCTTCGACAGATCTGAGATAAGAAGAAGGTCTTCTTCAGAAGATCTTCTTGTTATCCCACAAAAACCTGTGCTTTTCTCTTCTATGATATGGGTTACTTTTGATCCTGATGGTCAAGTATTTGCTAGGTTGGCCTACAAAGTTCCGTCAATCTTTACGCCTTCAAGGACTTATTGAATTTCTTTGTAGGGATGGTATCCCCAGATTTTATGGAAAGTCTTGCTGTGGGGTTTCTTTTAAAAATTCTCCGTGATAACCGGAATGCTTTGGAAGCCCAATCATGCAAATTACTCACAAGGGAATGCTTTGTACTCGAAGTGGTCATTCAAAACAAGATATATTCCATAATAACAAGTTAGGTATGGGAAACTCAAGTCCGTCAACCCTATCTGCGAAATGGTTTTTTGGAAGAAGATATGAGCACTTGTTTCCATGAAGCCACCTACAATGGAGTACTGTAAGTGCTAGGTGGCGCGGTGGTGTCTTTGCAGGTGCGCGATGCAGGTTCGAATCCTGTCGTCGGCGAACATATTGCGGTTTTTGCAATATTGTGTATTTCTTTGATAAATCTTGAAAAAACATTTAATTTGATTATGTAATAGTCATGAATATTTATGTCATGATAAGAGCATTTCCCTTTCCATACTACTGCTCAGTCTTGCTTTCCTCCTGGTCTCATAGGATGTTGCAGTGCAAACTACTGCGACGATGAACATCTCCTTCGATGCGCTGATTGCGACAGCTTTTATATTTTACTTCTTTATAGACGACTATCACATATTTCCTGGTGCAAATAATTTCAAATTAATATCTAATCGTTGGTTTAGCTTGACTTTCGACAATAAATCAACAAGTTAATAAAGCCTTCTCTAGCAATAAGAGATGATTGCAAAACAAAATGTTCGCCGGTGACAGGATTCGAATTTGCTCCGCGCACCCGCAAACCAAGACACCTCCCATTGCGGCACTCTAGCACTTCCAATGGTTCCGCAAGTACTCCATATTGTGGGTAGCCTCGAAACAAGTGCCTATATCTTCTTTCAAAAACCGTTTCGCAGAAATGGAAGACAGACTTGAGTTTCCCATATCCAACTGGTTATTATGAAATATATCTTGTTTTGAATGGCCACTTTGAGTAAAAAGCATTCCCTTGCCAGTTT